AAAAAAAAAAAACAAAAAAAAAAATCATGCCAGGACAGGTATAACCACTAAAAATAGTATATAAGACAGGTGTGCTGGTGCATCCCTGTAAACTCAGCACTTAGGAGGCTGAGGCAGGAGGATCACTGTGAGTTCAAGGCCAGCTGAAGTACATAGCAAGACCCTGTCTCAAAAAACACCAAAAATATATAATAAATATATAAAGCTAGAATACAAAACCACAACAACTGAGGGTTGGAAGTGTAGCTCAAAGGAGAGAACTTAACTAGTATGCACAAGGCCCTGCATTCCCCAGCCTCACCAAAAAAACGCCCAAAATAACAACAAAACTCAAAACCTGTAATACATGCCATGGAATAAAATCACCAAAAAAATGAGAAAACAAAGACAGGACAATGAAATGCACTAGTAAGTCCCAACAGCTGGGGTTGGGGCTCCATGGTGGATCACTTGTCCAGCATTCACCCAGTCCTGAGTTTAAACCCATGGCAATACCGAAAATGGAAAGGAGAAAAAAAAAGACTCAGAAAGACAACTTAGATTTATACAGTTTGGTACAATTTCTTAACTGTGAAAAAAAAAATTGGGATATTGTAATTCAAAATACATGCTTTATGTATTGTGGAATTAAATTTTAAAACAGGGGGAAAAATGAGAACCAAGACCTGGCATGTAAAGGTACAAGATCCCAGTAATGAATGTAGCTGTACTGTCTACCTAGAATGTACCAATAAATTCAATTTTTAAAAATAATAATAATAATAATAATAAATTTTAAAACAAAAGCAAAACATACTAGAAATACAGGTGAAAATGTATTTGATCTCTGGATGTGGAATCATAACTAGGGACACTAGAATGAATGAATGTGTGTGTGTGTGTGTGTGTGTGTGTGTGTGTGTGCATATGTATATGTATATATTTACCCACCTTTGAAGTTTCTAGAAAAATACACATAAAACTTAAAAGTTGTAAAAACAAATATGTACAATAAAGGGTTACTATTCTCAGTAATGACAAAGGAAGTAATGAAGAGTATTTATAAAAGCACAAATAAAAAATCATAATAGCATTTTCCAAATTTATTAAAGATTAAGATAATGGATAAAAAGCAATAAACTGACCTGCTGAGAATACCCCCGAAATGTTGGATTTACAGTTTTAATTCCTTGAAACAGATTAGTAGGCACAACAGACCCTGGTCTGAGGAAAAAAAAACATTTTTAAAAAAAAATTTTTGTAATTTTTTAATCTTAAAAACAATTCAAAGTGATAAATTGAAAAATGTTCATGTTTCAAAAAAATCATTCCAAACTACCCACTATACATTCCACAGGCTTACAAAACACCTTAATACTGATGTTTTATTGCTCTCCCCTCAATAATCATTCTCTACTGTATGGTTTTCCAAAAATACAACTTTCTGAATAGCTCTAAAATAAACAATACTTTATAACAAGTAATTACTAGCCTAATAAAATTGCATGACAAACACAATAAAACGGTAAATAAGAATTAAAATGAGTAATTGCAAATGTGAAATAAAAAGAAAAGGTCCAAAGGGTAGCGGAAGTAGGAGGGGTAGGGGGAAAGGAAAGAAGGGAAAGGAAAATAATATGAGGAAAGAAAAAAATGAAACAAAACCTTTGCAATTAGGAAGGGAGGAGGGGTTAAAGGGAGGGCAGGGGAATAGGGTAAATATAAGAACCAAGACACATCCTGTAAAGGTACAAATTCCCAATGATGAATGTAAATGTACTGTATATATAAAATGTACCAATAAAAGAATTTAAGAAACAAACAAAAAAAAAAACACAAGCAGGAAGACATTCGTAAAAGCACCCATGGTAGGCTTTCGCTTTGTGAGAACACCATTCCTGCTGGAAACTTAGAAACATCAAGAACAGCAGCTTTAGCAGTTATACATTTCCTGTACCTTGAAGTTTCTATGACTCCTTCATTTCAACACCGTTTCAAATGCAGCATGCCTCAAATTTAACTGAATCATCTCAATCTGTCTCTCTTCCACTCTTTTCCAGCTCTGTAAGGCTGCATCACTATATTTCTATTAGTCACTTAACAATAAAAAAGATAAATATATTAAATACATACCTGCTTTTATGCCACAATTCTGTCATAAGTTTGAGATAACTTTTACAAATCGCTGGTTTCTTATCTGTTCTAGCCAATCCTCCACAATCAAGAAAAAACTGTGTCAACGGTGGGCTAATTTAGAAAACACAAAAAGAGTGGAATCGAAGCTTAACACTGACTTCTAGTAATTCATGAGCTGCCAGCCTATTCACCCCTATACTTGGCCTTTCGCTGCTCCCTTTACAGCTTCACATTTATTTTTAATATCCTTAACTCAATGCAATCAAATCACTGCAGGCCAGACCACAGTCCTCCATGCTGTTAAATCCAGTTACCTCTCACACTCTCGGGAACATGTGTCCCCTCTCATTCTCCTGACCACTGTGTAATGACTGCCCTTCTCTGCCTTTCCTCTTTACCTCTCTGGCAAGTCCACTTCCTTTTATTACTCTTCCTGCTCTTGCACATTAAAAATACTAGATTGCCTCTGGACTTGATCCTATACCTTGTCCTACCTTCCATGTACGCTCCTTTTCTTAGCTACATTAAATTCCCACTCATATGCTGGTGATGGACAAATTTATATGTCAATCATCTCATCCAAACTCCATGTGTGTCAGGTGCCCAAATTGAAGGCTATTCCAAATTTAACATGCTCAAAATTTAACTTTCAGTGAACCTGCTCCTCCTCTCTTCTACATTCTAGCGGTACTGGTAACTGCTGGTGGCTCAAATCAACAATTTGTTTTTCTTGCCTACAATTCTATGACAGTCTCCTATCTGGTACTCAAACTTCCATTCTCATCCCCCTCCAATTCACTATCCACATAGTAACCACAGTGATCTTTTTAAAAATGTAACCTGAATTATTTAGCTGCCCTGTTGTAAAAACACTTCACTGACGATGAAGTTCTACATCCTTCACATGGCCTACGTGAGCTGGGCCCACGCCGTTCACTCCATGCTGACCATATTCCCAGCACACAGTTCCTTCTAATTCCTCAGAAGGCTCACACTCCTTCCTGCCCACAGCTTACAAAAAGTACTCATATGGGCCAGGGATTTAGTTCAGTGGTTCTGCCACCTGCCTTGCAAGCGTAAGGACCCGAGTTTGATCCCCAGTATAAAAAAAAAGTATTCATCTTTCTGCTGAGATGTTCCCCCTACCCTCGTCACCAGCTCATACTCACTCTACAAGCTTCAGACTAAATGTCATTTCCTCAAAGAAATGTTCTTTGATCGTTAAATAAAAATTGAACTCCTTTTTTTCACAAGGTTATAGAATATAAGCTACCTGGAACCTAAGAGGATTGATGGTAAAGTATTAACAGTGGTTATCTCATGAAAGTATCTAAATAAAAATTATGAATATATTTAGTCTCCAACCACTGCTCTAAAATTCAATTTAGTAGAAAGCACTGTCAAAGTCAACAATTCTGAACTCCTAAAAACACCTAAACTTAGGAGTAATACCCTTTCTAGTTGGTATGATTTTATTAAAATATCTGAAAGCGTTATTAGTTCACTTACAGAGAAAGATTTTTTTTTCCCATAGGCCCTCAAACCAAAAGTAACTTGAAGGACTGATTAGCTCAAGCTCTTCATTTTCTGTATGTAAAAATAACTTGCCCAAAGACACAAAACTGTCTACCCTTTAAGCCAAGAGCAGCATCTAAAGACAATTATAGACAGACACATATACAATAACACCATAGGAGCAATAATGGATTATGTCCCTGACCCAGATTCTTTGCTTTGTTTTGTTTTTGTCTTGCTATGTATTTCAGGCTGGTCTTCAACTCACTACATAACTCAGGCAGGCTTCAGACTTGCAGCAATCCTCCTGCCTTAGCCTCCTGAGTGTTGAGATTATAAGCACATGCCACCATACCCAATGTACCCCAGATTCTTGCCTTCTCTACTTTGGGAGTCAGCTACTACAATCACATGATGTTCAGCTCAAAAAGTCACCTTAAAAATATATAAACAAAAAATAATTTCTTTACTTACCAATTAGAAAGAGCCTGTAAAGCTGCATTCATATAACAAGTATTTCCAATATTTTTCAAACCTGTAAGTCCTACCAAGAAAAAAATGTCATCATTTAATACAAAAATGACTCAATTTTCTGAGAGTTTAAGTATTACAGTTCCAAAACTACATTAACAACTGTGGCCCGGTGTGGTGGGACATATCTTTAATCCCAACTACTTCTGAAGCAGAGGCAAGAGGATTGTTAGTTGAAGGCCAGCCTGGGCAACTTTGCAAAACTTTGTCTCAAAAATAAAAACAAAAGGGCCACTTGCCTAGCATTCACAAGACCTTGGATACAATCCCAATACCACACACACACACACACACACACACACACACACACACACACTCTCCCTCTCTCTCTCTCTCTCTCTATGAAAATGAGGTATAGCTTGATAGTGAAACAAGTGCTCACCATGCACAAGACCCTGGGTTCCCAGGCACAAAAAAAGAAATACAAAATAGCAACCTAAACAACTCAGAAAGGTCATAATTTCATGCACCAAATTTTTGTGCTTTAGTTAAATTCAAGAACTACTCAGTTCAAGGGTGGAGCTGTAGCTCAGTGGTCAGAGCATTTGCCTAGCATATTCAAGGCAGAGTCTGATCCCTAGACCACAAAATAAAATAACTAAATATATAAATACATACACACATACCAAGGATTAGTTAGTTCAACCTCTGAGATTTATACAACAACCTTTCCTAATTTTAAGAACAAGTATTTTTAAAGAGCACTAGTTGAGACGTATTTCTCACAATAACCAATGTTTATTGTAAGAAAAGTTTGGTGACAATACAAAAATCTCCTATCATGACAAACAATATACTAACATTCTTTCCTTCCCATTTTAATATAGTACACTGAAAGCAGTATTTGCCACTGTGAGCCGTTAAGAAACCGTTAACATTCCATCTACATATCATCAACTTCCTATGAGTCAAGCTAATACAATAAAGGAGCCACTGAACAATTTTTCTCTCTTCTATACATTCTCAAATTCACTTTCATCAGTTTACCACACCATTAAATAGGGACTGGGGATGCAGCTAAGTGGTATAGCACATTCAGCATGTGCAAGGCCCTGGGCTCAATACCCAGCACAACAACAAAAAGACAGAGTAGGGGGATGGTGGCCCACACCTGTAATCCCAGAAACTAGAGAGGGTGAGTAAGGAAGATCACAAGTTCAAGTCCAGCCTGGACAACTTAGCAAGACCCCATCTCAAAACAAAAAAGAAAATGGGCTTGGAGCATGGCTCAGCAGTACAGTGCCCCAATGTCTAACCTCCAGTACTGAGGGGAAAAAAAGTGAAAAACAAATATTTCAAAAATAAAATGAGAAAGCTCTTTAAATTTGGAATAAAACAATACACCCCCTTCTGCACTGCTGAGATAAAACCCAGGGCTAGACACATGCTAAGCAAGTACTCTATCACTGAGCTACATCCACTGCCCAAAACTTGAGACTTTTAAGAAAACACATCCTAATTAATAAATAACAACTGTCAGTAAGTCTTCAATTAAATAAAAACTCTAGGCTAAATTAAAGAATTAAAAACATACATATATAAAGTATATTATCCCTAGTAATGTTAATTTTATACCAAAGTGTTAATTCCCAGATACTTAACACTAACTATATACCCACTAATAATTATAAAACAGCAAATTTAATTTTTTTTTTTTTTTTTTTTTTTGGTACTGGGGATCGAACTCAGGTCCTTGCGCTTGGAAGGCAGGTGATGGAACCACTGAGCTAAATCCTCAGCCCTGAAAACAGCAAATTTAAAGTTTATACTAGGAAAGGAATGAAAAAGAATTAAGATAGGCTGGGGGTTTAGCTCGGTGGAACCGCACCTGGCTGGCAAGTGCAAAGGTCCTGAGTTTAATCACCAATACTGGGGGGGAAAGAACAAAAAACAAAAAAATAATTAAGATGTGTTATGTACATGTACCAACTACTCACAAGCAATGTTCTCATTATGTACTGCAAACGTACTAATAAATATTGAGAAAAATAAAGTTTATACTAAAAACTGGAAAACCCTGACAGACTGGTTCTCAGCACAGGGACTGAGAATGAGGGAGCCATGGCAAAACAGAGCTATATGAGAATCGACAATCAGCGAACTTTCTCCAAATGAACAGGTGCTCAGAAACTGCCAAGAGCAGACTTTATTACCCTTCCCAGCCACTATCACTGACAGATGCAGATGAACAGGAAAAGAGCCACAGTTCAAGCAGATCTCCAAAGCCAAACTGAACAAAAGGCCAGAAGGCTCAATTGCTAAAGAGTGATTAGGATCCAGGTTTGGTACAGTGACACCAGAGAAACCGTAAGTTTGCTTCACCTGAAAATACAATTAAACTGGGTCAGATTTCTGACTTGTTTTTGTTATTATTACTTCCATTCCCTTTCACCTCTAGATTTGGAAATTTTCACATTACAGTTTCTGAAGAAATGGGCAGTACCAAACAAAGGAGTGTTAACACAGAATTATTTTACCTCTTGCCTTAAGTTCATCCTCTTCTTCCACTTCTGTGTCCAGATCATCAAATACAGCAACCAAAGGAGTTTTCAATGTTGTATTACTAGGTATTTTAAAATCCTTAATTCCAAAAAAATAGCATACAACTGAGTAAATTTTTTTAAACTTTAAATTTATATATATATATATATATATATCTATACTATGAAAAGTAATTATTAGTAATAGATGTTAATAGTACAACCCTAAGAATTTGCAGTGCTAGCAATTATTTTACTTATTAGCATATCATCTTGGCTTTATAAATATATGTACTTAATAAAAAGCCACTTTTTTGCTGGGCATAGTGGCACATGCCTGTAATCCCAGCACTCGGGAGGCTGAGGCAGGAGGATCACTGTGAGTTCGAGACCAGCCTGGGCTACATAGTGAGTTCCAGGTCAGTCTCAACTACACAGTGTTTCAAAAACCGAAAGAAAAAAAAAAAAGCTGCTTTTTACAACTGGCTTTTCTGAATTTAAACTCAACAACTATTAAATTCAGTGATACCACATCTCAGCAATCTTTTTTTGTTCAATTTATTAGTGTACAATAATTATACAGACTAATGACTGTCATTGTGAATTTGTCTTTAAAAAGTGATGCTAGCTGGACTTGGTACCACACAACCAAAATACCAACATTCGGGAGGCTAAGGCAGGAGGACTGCCGTGAGTTTGAGGCCATCCTGGGCCACATAGTGAGTTCAAGGAGAGCCTGGATGACACAACAAGAGTCTATCTTTAAAAACTTAAAAGAGGAGCTGAGCGTGGTGGCGCACGCCTGTAATCCCAGCACTCAGGAGGCTGAGGCAGGAGGATCGCTGTGAGTTCGAGACCAGTCTGGGCTACATAGTCAGTTCCTGGTCAGTCTCCACTACATAGTGAGACCCTGTCTCAAAAACCAAAAAAAAAAAAAAAAAACTTAATGAGGGCCAGGGATTTAGCTCAGTGGTGCCACTGCCTGCCTTGCAAGCACAAGGACCAGAGATAGATCGCCGGTATAAAAAAAAAAAATTAATGAGAGCCGGTGTGATAGCACACACCTATAATCCCAGCACTCAGGAGGCTGAGGCAGGAGGACCACTGTGAGCTCAAGAATAGCCTGGGCTACATAGTGAGTTCCAGAGCACTCTGAACTACATAGTAAGATGCTGACTCAACAACAACAACAAAAAATTAATAAGAGATGCTAAAACTTTTGCCCTTGTACATCAGCTCCTTACATAGCTAAACTTTTAGTTAGCACATCAACTTTTGTTACTATAAGAGCATTAAAAATATTATTTTCACACTATTAAGACTTACAAAAATTACTAAACATTGGTGAATGACACGTATCATGGGAGAAATGGTCATGGTGATTATTAACTAGGGCCATTCAACTGTGAAGTTAGAAATCCAACTAATATTCTTTGTCTAAAATCTAGTTGCCTGATGTTATAGAGCACTTTTTGGAGCTTATACTACTTTTGAGTCTTGTAAAAATGGGAAAAATATATACTGGAGATAACTAAAAAGCCCTGGAGTCTGAGAGAGAAAATATTATGGAAAGATAGTTTATAATCTGATGCCTTTAATTTGGTACTTGAAAAATATAAATATTGATTTCAGGAAGAACAGAGTCTGTGTGAAGATGCCCCTTGAAGCACACCTGAGTCCAATCTAGGCTTCTGGCCTTTTAAAAATACCAGGCCAGGGATTAAGGTCCCAAGTTCAATCTCCAATACAAAAAAAAAAAAAAAACAGTGAATGATCTGACACTGGTCATAGCCATGTGCATCCAACCTAAGCCTGTAAAAGCAATGCTCAGATGCAGAGGCGATGCTGTCCCTGTTGGCCACACTCCTGAGCTCATCCACCACCCTGTACATTAGGGCTGTACATCACTCCCTGTAGCCACGCTGACCACAAGACCTCAGGCCTGGCCTCTACCTTAAGTTATACAGTGTATGAGGCAAGCAAAGTTATTGCTATGTAAGTCCAGCATTGGAAACATGCTATAAAGATTATAGAAAAATATGAGTTGGTGTCAAAGAACAGGTATAGAAATACAACATGATTTTTATAATACACGTGAGGAAAAAGAAACTTCACTGTTAATTAAATCTGAACAAATGATCAGAATAAGTTAGCACCTAGCTATTCTAATTTCATTTTTTGTCCTATTATTATATGACTAGAAATTTCTGAAAATTAAGCAACCAATCTTGCAAGCTTACATGTTTTATGGGTCTCTTGCTCAAACAAGAGAAAGATCTTTAAGATTGATGCTGTCTTACTATATTCTATCTGGTTTCCAGTAATTAGTAAAATGTTCACAGCAATACAAATGGGAGTGATGGGGGAATGGAGGAGAAAAGGGTACTAAATTAGTATCTGCCATTCCTTATCAAAGAAGGCCCACCACCTCTTTAAGACTTAGATTTACTAGAAAAAGATAAATACTATTTAAACCATTTTTTACAAAAGCTTTTAAAATTCACAGGTGCTTTTCCATCTTCAGATGGGGGGCTTCAATCTCACCTTAATCTATCACTCTGAAGAGTAGGAGTAACACATTACAAAAATGTTTTAAGTATAAGTAGGTAAAGCAGAATTCCTTTTTAAATTTTAATTACATGAAAAATTTAGGTTATTACCTAAATATTTGATATCTTAACTAAATGAGTTTAGATTACCTGGACAGTGTTTTCCTGTATTTGCTGAGGTTGCCTTACATGAGGCAAGGAAGGCTGAGTTCCTAATTTTCTGTCCAAAAATACTTCTTTGCTGCAAGCATAACACCACACTCGAAGAGTAGTAAGGTTCACAGTCAAATAATGCTTTGTCTCCTGTATAATTTTCATAGAAGAGAGAAAAGAACCAAAATTAAATATACTTAAAAATATTTCTTGAAAAAAAATCAGATAAACTATTAGCTTATGATGAATAAACAATATAATCAAAGGAGTTAATCTACAACAAAAACATAAGACTGCTACATTGGGGCCAGGGATTTAGCTCAGTGGTTCCACTGCCTGCCTCACAAATGCAAGGTCCTGAGTTCAATCCCACCCCACCCCCGTAACCCAATCCCTACTATCCACTTTACAAAATAAATGCAAGAGTTTAAGACTATTCTGCAGTAAGCAAACAAGTATAATATAAGATATCAGTGGGGGTTGGTCAGGGATTTAGCTCAGTGGTCCCTCCGCCTGCCTCACAAGTGCAAGGTCCCGAGTTCAATCCCTGGTACAAAAAAAAAAAAAAAAAAGGAAATCAGTGGGTATAAGGGAGCCTGGGGGTAAAGCACTTGATTAGTATTGTGAAAGCCTGGGTTTCATACCCAGCACTACCAAAAAGACAGAAAAAATAATGAACAATACCATAACTATTCTAGAAAATTCGAATGACAAAAGAACACAGATGACATTAGTCAAAGCACAAAACAGCTCAAGAAATAGGAAGTGTAAGATCCGGGCTACGTAAACCTCCAGCCTTTCTTAACCAGAGTTCTCAGAAAGGATTTATCCCTGAAGAAAGTGACTGTTTCACAATTCTCCCAAGGGTCACAGATACACAGCAAAAACTATTCTAGATAAACAGAGAAGCAAATCATGTACAGTCATGCCTTAGAGGTCTGGGTATCTTGGCTTAATTATTTTGAGGAATCCTGGTTGAGAACAATTAGGGCTGTACAGATAGCAATGTGCATCTTAAAACACAGTTCATTTGAGAAACTTATAGTTTAGAACAAAAATTTATCAAATACTACAGAAGACGTACGCCAGAGTTAGAAAGAAAGCACCAAACAACCAGAGCAAAGTAGAAAGGGGACTCCAGCTACGATGGTGTGCAGTAAAAGACGATACAGTAGGAGATGGAATATAGCAGCTATGCCATGTCATGAGCATAAGCGTCTACTCTGACTCCCACGCCTATAACCTCCTAATATTCCAGCTATTACCTCCACACACCTGGATATATTCTACCTTCCCTGCATCCCTCAGTACTAGGGACAGAACCCTTAGCACTAAGCAATAAACTACATCCCCAGCCCCTTTTTACTTTGAGACAGGGTCTAACTAAGTCACTAAATTGCCCAGGCCAGGCCTGCCTCAGCTTCCCAGAGTGTTGGGACTGAAGATGCACCACCATGCCTGGCTAGATGTATGCTTCTTAAATCAGTACCACAGCATGGTGGCACACACCTGTAATCTCAGCACTTGGGAGGCTCAGACAAGAGGATCACCATGCATTCAACGCCAGCTTAGACTACACAGTGACACCCTGTCCCCAAAAAACAACAAGACAAACAAAAATTTAAATCAGAATTTGAATTAATGTTATGTTGGCTTTCCCTTTCCCTCAGGCCATCTTTAAAAATTGTTCTGCAGGATATGGGGTATATAGTTCAATGGAACAGCACATGCTTAGCAAGTACAAACAAGGCCCTAGGATCATTAGGGTTCAATCCCTAAGCAAAAATAAAATAAAATAACTGTCTTTCATTCTACAGTTATCTCAAAATAATTTTTTTAAAGTCTTGCAATAGAGAGGGAGGAAGGAGAGAGTGGAAAAGAAGGGAAGGGAGAGGGACATAAAATGTCTTCAGATGGGGGCTGGGGATTTAGCTCAGTGGTGCCGCCGCCTGCCCCACAAGTGCAAGGACCCTAGTTCAATCCCTGGTACCAAAAAAATAAAACATAAAAAAAGTCTTCAGATGTATTATATACATGTACTCTCCATGATAAATGTAATCATTCATACTGTAAACATGGACTAACAGAAATTTAAATTTTAAAAAAAGGTACATGTAATCTCAGCACTCAAGAGGATGAAGCAGGAGGATCACCATGAGTTGGAAACCAGCCTGGGCTACTACATAGTAGTTCAAAGCCAGCCTAAACTACATAGAGAAAATCTGTCTCAAAAAAATAAAATGAATGAATAAATGTCTCACATTAAAATTATATACATACCTGAGAATGTATAGTGCTGTGATCCACTTGTGACTCACCACAGCCAACATATGAACATCTATTCTGTAAATAGACAAGAAAAAGTATTTTATAACATGTCTAAATTAATTGCATTAAAAATACATTTACAAATTTGATTACCTGTTTAATGATTACTTTCCATAGTTAAGACACAAAATAAATCCAGAATACAGCTGACTAAAGTTGAAAGATATGACACCTCAATAAAAGGCAAGAATAAAATACTCAGTGATTTAGTAAAACTCTGCAGTAGCACTGTACGTTTAAAATCCTTTAAAAAGGTTAAATCTAATTAAATTAAAAATAAAATCCTTTCAAAGTTAGGCTTAATTTTTTGTTATAGATAATGATCTTTTTAAAGTATGCTCATTTATGAAATTCTTTTAGCTGTCAAACATTTCTTTAGTTATCAGTTGTGATAATCTTGATTCTCAGCCAGCTTCAATGCTACCTAGGAGATAAGCAAAGCACACCCATGGGTGTGTCTGGAAAGTCATGGAAATGTGACCTGGGGATTGTGCCTGGCCCTGGCCCCTTCCTCTCCAGAACGCTTTCCCAGGGCTCCACTTCCCAGACACCACGCAGGGAGCAGCTTCACTGTGCCCTGCCCCTCCACCATGATGCTTCTCCCTTGGAGACACCAACCATGGACTGAACCCTCAGACTGTGAGCCAAAATAAACCACTTCTTTAATCTGTGAGTGTCAGGAATTGTCAAAGCAACAGGAAAGCTGTCCAATACAACATTTACAATAACAAGATCTAAATTTACAGTAACAAGCTTTTCAGGTGCACAAACACACACACACATACCTCCAGGCATGCCCAAAGATTTGGTCCTCTGACTTTACAATCCTGACAAGTACCCTATAAAAAGACATTTTAAAAAGATAACATGTTATATTGACATAGGCAAACTACACAGTTAACAAGTAACATGTATTGTAAAAACTGGGACCCATGAATTTAGGGTACTTTATAAACTGAGGGTAATTTATTTAAAAAATACATTATTTAGGAAATATAACTTAAGGAAGACAATATCTTACATGTGATTTTTGTATCAAATCTTCTTTTGTAATTTCACCAACTGAATCCAAATGTGGACAATGATTTCGAAAAGTTGACATTTTGTTAGGATGTTTTTCCTGTTTCTCAAAGTTTCTCAAATAAGGTAATACCTACATGAAAAGGAATCCCCCAAAATTAATTAGAAAATGCTAATATAACTCACATTGAAAACCCCCAAAAACTGTGAAACTAGGAAGGAGGGCAGGGCAAGAGAAATGAGAAGGGGTGAAAATGACTAAAGCATGTTATATGTACCTACAAATCTACCAAAATGAAACCCACTAATCTATATAACCAATATGCAATAATAAAAACAGATGTGAAATCAAAAAAAAAATGCTAACATACTAAAAATAATTAAGAGTGAAAGATACAATAAGGATAATCCAAGTTCACCCGTCTGCCTTGCAAGTATGAATTCTCAAAACATACCTAGGTGAGTTTAATAATTTAAATTTATTTGAACACTGAAAATTTTTCTACCAAATAAACATTTTATTAAAATTGACACAAGTAAACAAAGTTTAGTTTTCCATGTCTTTTGCTGCTTTTTCTCTCCCTTTTCTACTTTTTGGGGGGGGGGGTTCAGACAGGGTCTCACTATGTAGTTGAGACTGACCTGGAACTCACTATGTAGCCCAGGCTGGTATCAAACTCACAGCAATCCTCCTGCCTCAGCCTCCCAAATGCTGGGATTATAGTCATGTGCCACCACACCTGGCTTCCCTTTTTACTTTTTATAGATAAGTAAAAAGGGAGACACTCAAGTTATTCAACTTTGAAGTATACTTATCATCTTTTTCTTTTAAAAATTAATGCTTGGGCTGAAACAGGAATTGAAAATTCACACTAACAGCAGCCCCTACTGACGACATAAATGAAATCGCCTCGTATCCTGGTACTATGTGAGGAGAGGCACTTCCTCCCAGGGTTTCTCAGCACACAGTGCTGACACTCAGGGCCAGATGACCCTGTTGTGCTGCAGGATGTACAGCAGCATTCCTGCCTCTGCCCACTGAAGCTGAAACACCCCGCCACAACTGTGAGAACAGACGTCACTAACAGAATTCAACTGTGTCTTCAGGGAACAAAATCTCCCCAGAATGAAAAGCCTAGTATCATGATCTTTCCAACAACCCTGAGGTCAGTACCATTATTAACTTCATTTACACATGAGGCTAAGCAATGCCAAGTTGACTGAGTCTACCTGTTCGGTTCAGCTAATGTGAGACTGATTTTCAAACAACAGGCTCAAGCCTAACTCAGTATTTCTCAATCATCCTTTGATTGTACAATCTTAGTAACAGGTGTCTTTGGTTCATATTTGGGTTTGAGAACGTCACTGGGATAAAGTTAAGGCACTAAGAATGAAACAGTTAAGTTTTAACATTCAAAGATATCATAAATTTAATTTCTTTTATGATTTGTAAGTTATTCATTAAACTCCATCAGTATATGTAATACCATGCTGTATTAAAACTCCTGTTATTCTACAGCCTACATGTTTGCCTTTTAAATCCACTACAATAAATTAGCTGAAACAAGAACAAGCTGTAAACACATTTTTTACAAAAAAGATGGAGTAAAATCAAATTAAATGATCAACCCACTATTACACGACAATGTAAAAATATACCAGGGACAAGGGCTGGGGATTTAGCTCAGTGGTACCACGCCTGCCTTGCAAGCACAGGGTCCTAAGTTTGATTCCCAGCATCAGAAAAAAACAAAAACAGAACAGCTCTAGAGTTAATACTGAAATTAATTAATAATTAATTAGTTAATACTAATTTCTAAATGTTATATTACTATGTAATATTAAATAAGTCATTCTTCAGACTTTCCAGACATGAAGTTAAATTAAAATATGGGTTAAAGCCTTTTTATTCACATCTGGGCAAAGTCTTGGTGATCTTTTTCACACATCACTCACCTACCACTTTGTTTTGGTTAGAGTTCTTTGCTCTCTTACCCAGTTACTTTCACTACCAGCCTAGATGGAATAGGATCCAGATTTACCCTCTTACCTTAAGAGTAAAAACAGACAAAATGCATAAATCAATGCTTTTTGGACACGGACAAGAGAACATAGAACACTGAGTGCATGAAGACCACAAGGTGAGCCCTCTGACTGCCCCGACTCAGCCTGGAGAGATTTCTAGGCCACAGTGCAGCGACACATGCTTAGGCAGTCTCTGAGTTGAAAGGCAGAGCGGAGAATGTAATGTCTCCAAGGCATGTAGAACCATCGGGCAGACTAAAGAACAGAGCTGCACACAAGACAAGCAAGCTCTAGAAATCTACAGCATGCTACCATTAAGCATTAATTTCACTGAGCCTTGCTCATACATGTGATTAAACTTCTCCAAGGCCGAACAAGAACTACAGTGAAGGGACAGACAGGTAAGACAAATCTCAAGGCCATACACAGGGCTGTGTGGGTCCACCAGTCAGAGGTGATTTTATAAAACAGAGAGAAGAGCTCAGAGGATATTGCCTCAGTAGGAATAAAAAAATTATCTGTGGACTCAAGGCTCCTTTTCTTCTGCTGTGTGAGTATGTGTATGGGGAGGGAGACACTGGGATTGAATCCTGGGACCTTTACACTTAGCTATATCCCCAGCCCTTCTCTTTAAAAATTTTTTGAGACAGGGTCTTGCTAAATTAATAAATTTCCCAGGCTGGTCTAGGCTCGTGATCCTCCTGCCTCACTCTTATATAATAGCTCAAAAAGAAACTGCGTGTGGTACACACCTATAATCCTTGCACTTGGGTGGTTAAAGCAGGAGGATGAGATCTGAGGTTAGCCTTGACTACCTGGAAGATCCTGTCTCAAAAAACAAAACAGTCTGGGCCTGGGATTTAGGTGGTGCGGCCACCTGCCTCACAAGCACAAGGTCCCAAGTCCAATCCCCGGTACCAGAACAAAACAAAAAAACAACACAAAAAGGTGTCTTAAAGGAATCAAACTATTCCCAAGGAACTATGTCCCAGAACAAAGCTTAAGGAAATGAAAGAATTCCATTCCTGATAGTCAATAAAAAATTATAGTCACAAGAAGGAAAATCTGATCCACAATAAGAAAAAGAAGATACTCACAAATTATACTTAATAAAGCATACTCATGTTAAGGAGAAACATAAAATATTGAAGAAAAAAAACAATTTCTAAGGTGAAAAATACAGTGGACGAGATTAACAGCAGAATGGACAACACAAGAGTAAAGCACTTGCAGACCCAGTAAAAGGAAACCATCCCAAATGAAACAGCAACAGATGCTACCCAGCACACCATTCACATTTCTCCCTGGGAACTGCTACAGCAGGCCATTCAAAAGAACGTCACCCAGAGAGCCCTACAGTCCATCGGGAAGACCATGTGTGACTGGGGGACCAGACAGAACCCTTCAACTGTCCTGCTCTGTGACATAAGAAGGCCCTGACATTAAAGGACCATGCCGCCCAATTCTCCAGGGATGGAAAGGCTCCTGAGCATGGTGGGCACCTTTCTGAGCCAGGTGTACACCTGGTAAAAGGTATCCCCCTTTGGTAAAACTCTGTAGCAGTGCTATGAACTTTTGGAGTTGTGCTTTCAACTTCCCAGAGCTGTCCATGGCAGGAGGGTCCAGTTCTCATTGAGATGTCTGTGCTTTGAATCCTGATAGCCACATCCTGGGGACTAAGGCAGCATCAAGGATGGAGCATGTTCTCTAGTCCTGGGACTGTACACAGATGCACTCAGCAAGTTCAAGAAGCAGTTTCTCTATGATGAAACTGAGGCAGAGGTGAATATTTTGATCCAATCCATTTACAAGCTTGCAGGCCAGATTGTCTTACGTTACATAAAAGGTATGGCAGGAAGATTGCTTCTTTTTCTTAGTGTTTTGAGATAGAATCTCACCATGTAGCTCAGCCTAGCCTTGAACTCACTATGCAGCCCAGGTGCAAGACTGCTTTATTGCTTCTTGATAAATTGTTTAAGATCCAAATGCAACAAACAGGGAGCCAGGACCTACCTCCCACTCTCTAACCACTATGAGAAGCTTCTGAAGCACATCCAACTTCTGAGCAGCTTGATAGACTTCAACCATCACATTACACACCATGCATCAGCAGCCATGTATGTCCCTAGAACTGGCAATTTGAAAGTGAAGACCTGACATCAATAGTTGAGCTGAAAGATCTCTTGAAAATCAACCACATGACCCACAAGCTACTGAACAAGATCTTGATACTGGACAGCTTTGATGCCAATCACAACATGTCAATGCTCTATGTGAAAGTAACCCTTCATGTTTCTGGGAGCTCAACTATGACTACTGACTCACCTGTCAAACTACTGCTACAGTGGCTCCACCAACTGGTTTGTTTGAACAGTATTACCATTTACTCAGAAGTTTGAAAGAGATAATCTAATGAATGACCTGCATCTACATGGATCCAAGGCTTTCAATCCGGCCTATTCCAGCACTTATGGCAGTTACTGGAATTTCTCGGGGTTTCCACATTTTTATCCACTGAATACTTGGCTACCAGGGTACCACTGGTCAAAGAAGAGCTGCTGAAGGTTGTCAAGAGCTTGCTACAAGGTACGATCCTGCAGTATGTGAAGACACTGATGAAGGTAGTACCCAAGATCTGCTGCCTGCCTTAGAATAAGTACATCGCTCCCAGCATCCTGGAGGGCTTCCACCACCTGCTGAAGGACACTGTGAAGTATCCAGAGCTGAAGACTGTACTTCTAGAACTGCGGGAATGGGGCCCGCCATCCCCTTCTGCTTGCTCGTCAAACAGAGCTTGTGTTTAGGAGTACATATGTGACCTGTTGCATGCAGTCCCTTTCTAGAACATCTTGTTGCGAGTCCATGTGAAGGAAAGACTTGATGCCAAAATGAAAACTGCCTCTTGTCCCATTGGATGAAAGGCTGGGGACCCCGCAACAAACTGAAATTGCAAGAGAAGGGGTCTTGCTGACTAAGGATATCTCTGTTGTCCCCTATATTTGAGGTCATCATGACATGGATCTGGCCCTTTCTAGACAGACCTCTACCCACCAATGGGCTCATGCATGTGGATGTGTGCAGTTACACAGGCTGTGGAGTCCCATGCAG